TCTTGAGAACCTCCAAGGAAAGCAGGAGCCCAGCTCTAAGCAAGGCGTGGCAACCCCAGATGGAACCTCCACGCCCAGAGGCAGTCTACCTCTGGAGAACCCCCCAAGGAAAACTGCAGGCTGGCTCCAAGAAGCAGTTTCAGCTGGCTTTTAAGTCTGGGGCCTCTCAGCCCCCCCCCCCAAGACGGAGCCAAAAAAACCACCCTTGCGACACAGAGTCACTTTCTGAGGTCTTCCAAGCCCCACCCAACCCGTTTTTCTAAAATGGGGAGGGGGGGACAGGGCTGGGTCATCCCAGATGGAGGCAGCCTCTCAGCTGACTGATCTGGCCTTGAGCCATTTTATGAAGGTCACGGAAAGTCTGAAGAGAGAAACACCCTGGAGTTCACACGTTCGATCTGGTTTCGCCCATCTGTTGGCTGCAAGTCACCTGCTGTTTCCTGCTCTTCCCCCCCCCCCAAAAGCTTTCAACTCGACAGTTTTACCAGCCACCTCTGGGTGAGCCCCCCCCCTTCCCCTTCCTTCCATCAGATCAGAGCAGGAACTTCAAAACCAGCCTATACCAACCCCGAAACTCAGGCAGTCCTTCAATTCCCCAAATCTTGCTATTAACAACTTTGGAAAACTGGGCAAGCGGATTAAAAATAAAAATAAAAAATCCAGAAGCTAAAATTGTTGCAGCAGGGAAGGTCCAAGGAAGATGTTTGGGGAAGAAAAAAGCCGAGTTTTCAGCCCCAAAATACCTTCCCCCACCCACCACGCCACACCCAAATTCAACCAGCAAAAAAAAAAAAAAAAAAAGGAAGAGGAATTTTAAGTCCCTTGCAACGTAAAACGTTGGGGTAGGGAGGGGCCCAATACAGAGGAGAAATTCATAATTGAACTTCATAATTGGAGCCATAAAAGGGCAGTTGGGGTGGGTGGGGGTTCACCTCGGTGAAAACCTGGCGCTTCTGTTCCCCTTAGGAACACTGAGGACTAGCATCTTGTCTACTGCACACCTCCTCTGCAACTCAGGAGAGCTCCCTCTGTAACCGTTCCCGGGGAGGTCGAAAAAGGTAAAACTTGAGAGGCGATGTCCAAATCCTGTCCTTAAGGGCCTTTCTAGAAACAGACGCCTCTGCAGGATTTCGCCTCCGGCTGTTGGCCAATGTATTGGGGGGGGGGGCGCGAGAGAGCACTCCCGCTTGTCCAACACAGTGTGGCATTCATCCCCCCCTCCCGCCCCACCAAAGAAAAACGCCTTTCAAAAATGGAGAGACCCCACCCCAAAATCCGTTGGCAGCGTTGGGCACAAGGCGGAGCCCCCCTCATCGGGCGGGTGTTTCATCAGGACAGCCGGGCACACACGTACGCAGTGCCCCCCCCCGCCGGGGGCCACACCCTGAGCCAGAAACGCGGCTTTTCCGAGCCCCAGCGCCCAGCCCAGCGCCGATTCCCCACTTCTCCCCAAGTTCCTGCAAAAAGACGCAGAGATGGAGTCCCCCCCTCTCTCTATCCATGCCTCCTCCTCCCCCTCCCCTCCCCAGAGGGGAGACACTACCCCCCCACAGACACACTCTGCGTTTCAGGACCCAGAAGGCACAGCCGATTCTTTTTGGGGGGGCTCCCCGGCACAGCAGCGCGCCCCGCTTTTACGCGTGCCGCGCTTTTACGCGCGCCCCGTTACGCGCGGCGCAGCCGAGAGACTCACCCGGTGAGCGAGCAGCCTGGAGCGACGGCTGGCAGAGGCAGAGTGAGGCTGGCCGGCCACCGCCTCCGCAATTCTCGCTGGGCTGGGCTGGGCTAGGCCGGGCTGGGCCGGGCCGGGGGCGGAGAAGCCGGACTCACATCTGCAGACGCTCGCGCGAGAAACCAACCTCTTGGAGACGCGCCAAAACTGTGTCTAACTGGGCGTCGGACCCTTAAAGAGAGGCTCTTTCTTGGCCGGACTCCGCGGGGACGGGGCATGGCCTTGGGTTGGCTTCCGAGTCTAAGTTACAAATTAAAATTTAATTAAAATTAATTTACATTTTGTAAAAAAAAAAAATCTCCTCTTGGTCTCCCATCCAAACGCTGAGCTTGTTCCAATGGGAATATCATGGTTTATCTTGCTTTTGCTACCAGAAGCTGAACTGGGCCCCAAACTCAACCCCAGTTTAAACCAATGTTTCATACATGTATAAATAACTTGAAAATAAAATAAAAGGAAATGGCATAAAGGGAAAAGAGAGGATTCTTCTCTTGCCCCATCAAGAGGTTACAACTGTTCTGCATTCTTCGTTTTCTTTTCCCTAACTTTTCCTGCCCTGCCCACCTGTTTGTCCTCCTCTGCATTCCTGAATTCCATCCTCCAGATACAAACTCACGTGTTATTCTTGGCTGGAGGCTCCCTCTGTATTGTTGCTTGCACACGCCCTGCTCAGACATTTAGAGGAAGAGGGGAGAGACATTTTTTGAAGGGTGCGGGGTCAGGAAAAAACAGCTGGCCTTCAGAAGTTGTGGGTCGCTGGAGGTATTCAAGAAGAAACTGGGCAGCCATTTGTCTGGGGGGGGTGGTTGGACTAGATGACCTCCGAGGTTCCTTTCAATTCGATTCTATTCCATTTAGCAGGGCATCCCCTACTAACAAATGCAGTTTGCATTACCTAGGTGCAGGAAAATCTCTAATCCTGTCTGTTCTTGGTTGCTGGTCTCCCTCAAAGGGTGACCTCCCCCAACTTCCTAATATTATAGCCAGCCCAAAAATATTTCTCTTTTTAGTTTTCTAGAATGCCAATTTGTTTAATTTGCCATTCAGAGTCACCTTGAAGGGCCAGAGGGAGGGCAAATAAATTTGATAATTAAATAAAATAAAACCACTTAAAGATTCAATTCATAGCCGTGGGGCTAGCTTAACAACTGTTGGGGTTCCCTTGAGGTCTCAAATGTCTTAGCAACAGAAACGTTGGGCTGTGGTTGTGGTTGTGAGTCCAGGACTACTTGCTGAGACCACCTGGGCAGAACAAAGAGGAGAGAGGAAAACAAAAACAAAAACAAAAAAACCTTCTCTGACTGGCTTTTCAAGAAATCTTACAGCTGCCTCATTGTAACGAAAAAGTTCACGAAACTTTTCAGGAATGAAACGGCCCTGGAAAAACAGACAATATTCCCTGTTAGCATCTCTTCCGGATGTTCACCTCTCAAACTTCCGATCCTCGCCACTAAGTTTGATTAAAGAAAATATTTATTTACAAGTAGTCCTCAACTGAGTGGCCTCAACTCTGTTGCTAAGTGAGGCATTGGTGAAATGAGTTTTGCCCCATTTTATGACAAAGACATCGCGGTTTGTTCCTGGCTAGCTGGCCTGGCCTGCCATGCCTTTGGCAGACTCAGTTTTGCAAAGATCTGCATTTTTCCATCTCAGAGCTGTTATCTCTGCTCCTTTCTTTCCAGCTTCCGTGGAAACCCTCCAGTAAAGCCCTGAAATGTTTTTTGTTTTTTTACAGGCATTGTTTCTCGCAATTCTTTCAGCCAGGAAAAATAAAATAAAATCTGTTCCACCGATTTCCCAGTTTCCATTTCCCCCCAAAAGTTTGCGGTGTCTCCCACCAGCTCTCTCTTTCTTTACGAAAGCATTTACAGTCAAATACAAGCCCTGGAAGAGGAGACGATATCTGAGGCACAGCAATAAAGGAAGACCAGAAGGAGAGGGAAGAGGGAAAAAAAAGCAAAAGAATTTGGGGGGGGAGGGTTTGTGTGTGTCTGTGTGTGTGTGTGTGTGTGTGATCCCAGCTGGTTGTATCGTTGAGGGAGAAGTGTGATGCAAACAGGTTGACTAATTTGTGTGATGTGTCAAGGCTGAGTTGTGCAATGGAGATTTCGAATTGGCTGGAGATGGTGGAAGCCTAAAACCGTGTCGCCTTGGAAGGCAAATATTTGTGAATATTCCCCTCCTGGGTGGATCTAGAATAACCTATGTATACCTGTCAATCAATGAACCAAGTTAGGTGCAGCCTCACCCAGTTACAGCCCTGTTTTCTGGAAGGACTGCACCACTATGGGAAGTGAACGCAAGGGAAGCACGGTCTCAAAGCCCTTTGCCCCCAGACAATGGGAAAAAACATTGAATATTTCTTTCCAGCATGAATGGGTGTCGGTAAGGAAGCGAGAGAGGGAAAAAAATATATGAAACATTGCAATCAAAACTCAGGAACGTAACACACTGGCTGATTGTCCTAATGTGTTACAGTCGGGGCCTGATTTTGGCAAATGCCAACCTTCGGCCGTTATTCACCGCTGGTGACAAGTAGCCGAAACGGAATTCTTTGTAGAGAATGTCGGAGATCCGGTTATGTATCTGGGTGTGTTTTTCCTGGGTTCAAAATGCACTTTAGAGGACATAAATTTTATATATATATATATATGTATATGTTCTGCCCTCTAGTGGTTCAACCTGGTACGGCCCATTTAGGAAAGCATACATTAGATTTTTTTTTTAATGCCGACCTTGCAGCGAATACAGTCCAGGTAATCCCTTAAGCCCTTAAGAAATGTCTCACTTAGCAACAGAAATTTTGGGCTCCCTTGTGGTTGTAAAGTCGAGGACTACCTGTATTTAGAAAAGATTAACTGCTGGAAAACATGCCCGATTTTTCCTTCAGCAGAAGAGTGTGTCTTGCGAGGTGTCCCACCAGACAGTGTGAAATAAAGAAACAAGAGCTACCTGGACTTAAGATATATAAAAGTAAGATTTATAAACAGATCATAAATGAATCAAATAAAACCCAGCCAGCTTAAAGGCCTGAGTGTCACTTCTCACCCTGCCCTGCCAGGTAGAATCCTAGCTGTGCCACGTTGCCCTGCTCATTCCCCAGACACAGAGGACTAGCAGCCTTATTTTTTTAAAAAAACCCCAAAGCACCTTGGAGTCAGGGGTTCAGATGGGGTGCTCCTGAGCGATTCCTTTTCCCCAAGGCTAACTTCCCCTGTCCTGCACTTATATGACTCCGTGGGACCGGCGCAGCTCTGCTCCTTTATGCACAAACAGAAATCTGATTTAATGCTCGATTTTATTCAGATTTTTTTTAAAAAGTAAAGGACGTTGCACAGCCTTCCCTGATTTTGGAATGATTTGGAGGACGAGGTTTGACATCTCCCAGATGCCGTCACGGTCTCTTGGGGGCCTCGCCACCAGGCGCGGAAGCCACGTGGTCATGGCAGGCCTGGGCCAGGCCTCCGATGAGGTTCAAGAACTCGGAAAAATCCACCTGCCCATCGCTGTTCATGTCCAGCTTCTTCATCATACGGTCAATGACAGCCGGATCTTTCTGGTTCTGCAAAGGGTTAAAAAAAAAAAAGATCACACGGAAGATCAGCTGGGCCTTTTTGGATCTCCTCCTCCAAAAATGGATTTCTTGAAAGATAAGGGGGACAAAAACTTCATAAAAAGCTTAGTAAGGCCACATCTGGAATCCTCCATCCAGTTTTGGTCATCACGTTACAAAAAAGAGGCTGAGATTTTGGGAAAAGGTGCAGAGAAGGACAACTAAGATGATCAAAGGCCTGGAGTCTAAAATATAGGAAGAACGGTTGCAGGATTTGGGTATGGCCAGTCTAGACAAAAAGAAGGACTGGGGGGGGGGGACATGATAGCAGTATTCCAGTGTTTGAGGGGCTGCCCCAAAGAAGAGGGGGGGGTCAACCTATTTTCCAAAGCACCAGAAGGCAAGACAAGAAGAAATGGATGGAAACTAATCAAGGAGAGAAGCAACCTGGAATTAAGGAGAAACTTCCTAACAGTGAGGACAATTCATCAGTGGAGCAGATAGTCTTCAGAGGTTGAGGGTGCTCCATCACTGGAGTTTTTAAAGAAGAGATGGATAGGCACTTGTCTGACATGGAATAGGGTCTCCTGCTTGAGCAGGGGGTTGGACTAGAAGACCTCCAGAGTCCCTTCCAGCTCTGCTATTCTGTGATTCTATAATCCAAATCAATTAACCAGTGGAACGACTTGTCTCTGGAAATTGTGACTGCTCCATCATTGGAGGTTTTTAAGAAGAGATTGGGCAATCATTTGTTCAGAAAGGTATACGCTCTCCTGCTTCAGCAGGGGGTTGGACTAGAAGACCTCCAGGGTCCTGTCCAGCTGTGTTAGTCTGTTATCTCAGGATTCAGCACCCCCAATAGCTCTTTTATTTACTTTGAAGTCGTTGGTTGAACCTTTCCTTCGCCTGGTTTCCATAACAATAGAATAAAAACACCAGCTAGGTAGGCATTGGCGCCAAGCCGGGTTTGCAATTCTACATCCCGCCAACCGGGGGGAGCCCATATCCACCACGGATGCCTAAATTGAATTCTGTTTCCCAGGTAGATATCAAAGAGGCGCATAAACCCTCAATCCCACCTTTGTGAAGGAGCCCAGCTCTGTGTCCATGAAGGTTCGGAATTCCTTCTTGGAGAGAGACTTGGAGTTCGAATCCCTCCCAGCATAGCGCTGGAAGACCGCCAGCAGCGATTCGATGCAACGTTCGGTTTCGGTGGGGCCCGCGGTGTACCTGGACGACTGCAGAAGTGAGAAAAATGTGCATTTTTCAAGCTGCCCCTTTCGCTTCTGCATAGGTTGCAGTGATGCACCTCACGGAAAGAAGCCTAGAACAGTAATTTTTTTAACTTTGGAAGATGGGTGGACACTTCAACTCCCAGAATTCCCCAGACTGGCTGGGGAATTCTGGGAGTTGAAGTCCACCCACCTTCCAATGGCCAAGGTTGAGAAATAGTGGCCCGGAACATAGATTAATTTCAGAGCTAATTAAGTTTGGATTAATTTCAGAGCTAATTCAGTTTGCCTGCCCCCTGCCGCAGTTGCCTTTAAGTTTTAAAGAGGGTCTTTCAAATAAATTCTCCGCCCCCTCCCCAGGTGAGGAAATTCAGGATAAGCCCAGGAGGGGAGAGGCACTCCCATTAATATCCCAACAGCCAATTCAGCAAGGGCAGTCTGCCCATGCCCAGAGGCTGTTCTTTCATTTGCAGATCAAAACTTGCTCATTGCCCTCTAGTGGCATTTTCTGGAACTTAGTTTTTGCTTGCAAAGACAAAATAGGAAAGACGTCAATTCTTGGCTCAAGAAAGATATAACACATTTGGCAATGGGTGCACACATACACACACACAACTTGGCAACTTTGGAGGAGACGCACTCCTGTTTGGGCAGGGGGTTGGACTAGACGACCTCCAGGGTCCCTTCCGACTCTGTTATTCTGTTAGCCCACTGGTACCCATGCACAGACAAACTTACAACAAACTCAGGTTAGATTAGCAGATGGTAGACTGGCTCCCATCCATGTTTTAACCTGGTCAAGTTTCAGCATAGGGTGGAAACAGCTGAAATATGTTTTCTTTCTTTTTTTTAAAATACTAATGAATCATGTCCAGAGTAGGTTCACCAATATATTTACCTGCAAAAAACCATTTTGTAACTCAAGATTTGGGACGTCTTGGTGTAACTCTGTTATTTCTGTTCTGCTTCTGCCCCAGTCAGCCTTATATCCTCCATCTGACAAGCTGACTTTGCAAAACATCAGCCAAGAGGGTTATTTTGAAATCTTTTTACTGATGAGAGTTTCCAAATGAACCACTCCCCAAAGTGCAGTGGATTGCAAAAAATGCAATCTTACACTTACCAAAGAGAAAATAAACTTTTAGAGACCTGGAGTGGGGGAGGGTCTCTAAGGGTCCCTAGGCATTAATCTCTCAAGGGTCTTATGGGAAGGCAACCCATCTGTCTAATTCCTGCCCGTCCCACAGCTCAAACTAAAGCGCTGTTTTTCTCCTTGGCGGTGCTTGTAGGCCTTCAACCCTCGTGCGGCAGGCCAAAATCCAACCGGTAAGGATTTGCCTTCCCCTGTTGAACTTTGCTCCACCCCCCTCCCAGCTTTTTGCAGAAGGAACCTTGAGCCATTTTGAGGAATGAGAGAAAAGATTGTCCATCGGCACAGCCACACCCTTTCCGTAGGCCGCCCCGGGAACAAAAACGGAAACCACAACCCAAAACGGCAAAGATTTGACCGCTTGCTACGCTTTGCTCTTTTGACCTTGCAGCCAAGGCAAAAAACCCCCAATTTTTCTATCCCCAGGAAAAAGAAAGAAAGACATATTCTACTGAAAAACACCTACCACATTTTGGACCGAGATAGAGAAAGAGAGAAAGAGAAAGAGAGAGAGAAGGGAGGCTGATGACAACCACACCTTGGTGGACTCTTCTCAGCTCTCCGGGCTGCTGATGGAGACCCCCTCCCCAATTTCTTGGCAAGCCCAGCACTCTACTTCCCATCATCCCCACCCACTTGGGGGTCTGTGCAGCAGGGGAACCGGAATCCCCCATCCAGGATGAAAAGTCTGGAACTGTCCAAAGGGAGAATGAAGTTGGATCCGGTCAACTTTTTTGGGGGTCATTCCAGCTGCTGTCCATTTCTCCTTCTTCCCACGGTGTCCTTCCCCCCCTTTTTTCCAGCCAGTTTTCCCTGGCTCTTCCCTCGCTCCCCCCATTGCAAATGGAGAAGGAACCCCCCCCCTCTTTCTGGCTTGGCATGCTTCAGAGGCATCTTCCAGGGCCAGGGTGCGCTTACCATAACTGTGGTCGGCAACTGGCTGGGCAGAGTGGAAAAGTTGGCTGTTGCTGGTGAGCTGGTTGGGGACCGGAGTGGTGAAAGGAAGGTCTAGCCCCTCCCCGGCTGAGCCAACGCCTGTCTCTTCCCCCGCCTGTCTTCCCGTTGAGCAATTTTGGCTAAACACACACACACTCAGGCGAACAAGGCGCCCGCCCCACCTTATTTCATTCACTCTGGAATGTGCTTAAAGGGAAGTTGGTTTTTCGGCTTCTCCGTTTAACTCACTCAGGCCCTACTCTCTTTCTGAGTTTTGCAGAAATCACCAGCAAGCAGGCAGGGAACCAACTGGTTGAGCTTTCCCAGCTGCTCAGAATCAGCTGGCTGTTAGCTTTGAAGGCTTTCCAGTTGGTAATAGAAATAGAAAATAGAAATGGAAATAGAAATTAGAATATAATAGAATAGAATAGAATAGAATTTTTAAAAGAGGCGGGGAGAAACAGACTTGAGTATTTTCAGAATTCAGTTTTCGGCATTCACACAAACCGAAGCAAACGCAACTGGCTTTACGATCAAGTTTCTTTCCCAAATTCCTACTCCATACAGTGCTGGAAAAATAACAGGAAACCAGTTTTCTGCAGAGCTTTAATTTTCCTTTGTGCAAAGGGGCCACAGAGGAGGAAGTCACTCACAAGCCCAACCTCCTCTGAGTAAACTCTGAGAAAAAATACAAGGGGAAAAAAGCTGGAGACAGACAATTTTTTCCACTGCTTTGTGCCAAGGGACAAGCGCTAACTTTGCCACATGCCGCCTGCCAATTATCACAGCTTCTTCCCTTCTAGAACACACCTAGAGGCTTTCCTCAGAACCATGAGGACTAGAGCCTTGGCATTTCTAAAAACAGACACCCCCCAAAAAATCTTTTAAAATCTTTTTTATTATTTCATCTTTTTAATATTGCAAACCTTGTGGTAAGATGGGCAGTCAATATATTTAATAAATAAATATAGATAACAATTTTTTTTTTTTTTTAGAAAAGAGAGATTTCTTTAAGAGGAATTTTTTCTGAAGCTAAGCTGACTTCTTTCCGCCCTCTTGCAAACTGGAAAAAGTCCAGCAGAGATTTTTTTTTTTTTTTTAAAAGAATTGCATGGTTGGGTGCTAATGAAAAGATCTGGATTAAGTGTTCCCTAGCAACCAAAAGGATGGGGGGGGGGGTAAACATAGCCTGTAGCAACACCCAGAGGAACACAATTGCAGTGCTGTGTAAAAGACGCAACCTCCCAGTTGCATTCTTGCGGTTCTGTTTCAACTTTCCCCATTGCAAGCTCTGACTTGAACGCAATTTTTTTTTTTTAATAGAAAGCTCTCATCGGTTCTTGAACCAGCATTTCCCCAGATATTTAACCCTCTCCAACCCTGGCTGCTTTCTGCGCTCTGCCCCTCCCCCTGGTGGCCAGCAGAGGAATCACCCCACTTTAAACAAAAAACAAATAAGTAAGGAAACGCCGCTAACCCCAGCGGACAAAAGAAAGTGAAGGAAGAAGAAGAATTGATGGATTCAATCAGAAGGAATTTATTGATAGTAGAAGAAAGATACCTACGGACACCAAGGGGTTGGGGTCTTCCTCCACCGAGACCCTCATTTGCTTCTTGATCACTTGCGGTAGAATTTGGGGTACCCCTTTCTCATCTTGTAACCTCCTGTGGAGTTTGGAAGGCATTTCAGATTCACAGAAGAGCAAAAGGGCTGATTAGAGGAGCTGATTGGAAGACCCCTTTCCTTTTTCTCACCCAGGTTTACATTTCCATGGATACGTCTACAAGGGAAGGGATCAGGACCCCATTATACCCTTTGCTGCGTATCGCCGTGGACCGAAAGGGCTGATTTAGAGCTGATTAATTGATTAGAACAAAACTCAACAGGATCAAAGAACATCTGCAGGAAGATGTGGAAGCAAAGAGTACTTCAAGCGGGCATCGTCATCTCAACTTCTAGGGCTCCTCCTGCTTCTTCTGGGCCAGCAGATATTCATACAGCGGGTTACAAATCACGCACGATTTGCTTTCCACCAGAGAAGTGCTTGGCTTCTCCGGGATGGCGTGTTGGTCTTCGTCCTCCAAAAGTGGCTGAGATTCCTGGGCCCATGAGCCACTTCCATCATCATCTTCCACTTCAGGTTGAGGAGCTTCTCCTTCACGGTGGACTTGCTGCTGGTCAAGAGCAGCAGGTTCCTCAGCTTTGTCTCCCTCTCCAGCCAGAGATAATTCAGACTGACCTTCAGCTTCGATCTCAGGGACCTGTCGCTCACTTGGTTGGGAGAGAGCTCTGTTGCTTACAGGTGAACCGGCCTTTCGTTGGGTTTGGTTGACTCCAACTTCTTCTTCTCGGCCCTCAGTCTGATGGTGTTGTAACCACCTTCTTTGGGGACCTCTCAGTTCTGGTCCAGACAAACGTTGGCTCTCTCTTGTGGCCTGCTGCTGCTGGAGTGTATGTGGACTCACCAGGCTTTCTTCTGCCTTAGGTTGTCCAGGCCTCCTTGATGGTTGAGATTCACCACTCTCTGGAGGCCGTTGGTCCCTCAGCAGATCAAATTCATGGTCAGCTGTTTGGTTGGAAAGAGAGGTGGCTTCACGGGGCTGAAAGCTGTTCCCCATATTATGTTGGATTACTTCAGTACCCTTGAAATTAGGGACAGAGGACTGCGCTCTTCTCTGTTGCTCACCATTCCTTGGGTCAACTTCGTATGGGTTGGTGGGTTTCTGATCATCTTCTGCTAGGTCAGTTTGTGTGGGGCTCCACCTGTGGTAAACAGAATCCTGTGATGGCATTTTCTTGGGTCGTTGATCATTTTTAGAGTCAATCTCATATGTTGGGGTTCTCCTCTGGTTGATCTGTCTTGTACCAGAGTCATGGGAAGAAGTTCTTCTTTGGTCTTCACCTTCTCTTGAGCTAGCCTCATAAGTTTGGGTCTGCTTCTGATCAATGTTTTCATCCTCAGAATCACGTATGGAGGTTTTTCTCTGGGGCTCATTCTCTCTGTGGTCAACACCACGGATCTGGTCAACATCTCTAATTTCAACATTGGTTCTCCTTTGCCCTTCACCTTCTCTTTGAGCGATATCAATTGCCCAGATTTCTCTCTGGCCACTGCTTAGTCTACCACAGCTTTGTCCCCTCCCTTCTCTTTGTAGAGTATGTCTGGATTCAAATATCTGTTGTCTAGTCTGGTCATAGTCTTCTGAACTATCAGATGAAGAAAATCTATTGGGTTGTGTTGGTCTGGTGACTGCTTCTCTTGACTGCAGTTGTTCCCTTTCATCAACTCGTGAGTCAACTAGCTGATGCCTTCTCATCTCCCTCTCTCTGGGCTCTGAGTAACATAACTGAGGCCTTCTCCTGTCTCTTTCGTTCTCCCAAGATTCATGTTCATAATACCGTTGCCTCTCCTGGTTGTCTTCTCTCTCGGATGATTGACGAGGCTGGATCCTTCTCCTTCTTGCAACCTCCCTTTCTAGGGAGTGAACTTCATAATCACGGGGTCTTCTCTGATCATCTCTCCTTGGCTCTTCATATCTTTGAGATCGGACATACCTGATGTTCCTGGCCACAGGCTCAAGGGACTGGGATCTCCTCCTCCTAACTTCCATAACTTTGGTTTCCTCCCGGCTGAACTCCCGCCTTCTCCGCTCTATGTCCTCAGGACGTTGGGACCTTCTGACCTCTCCTCTGCCTTCAGACTCACGAGATTGGGAAGATTCATGTTCATAATACCGTTGCCTCTCCTGGTGGTCTTCTCTCTCGGGTGATTGTTGAGGCTGGAGCCTTCTTCTTGCAACATCCCTTTCTAGGGCATAAACTTCATAATCACAGGATCTTCTCTGATCATCTCTCCTCAGTTCTTCGTAACTTTGAGAGCGCTCATACTTGGGGTCTCTGGCTTCAGGTTCTTGGGATTGGGGTCTCCTTTTTCCACTCTCTGCTGCACGGGTTTCCCCCCGGCTAAACTCCTGCTCATCATCTTCAGGATGTTGGGACCTTCTGACCTCTTCTCTGCCTTCAGACTCACGAGATCGGGAAGGTCTGCCCATGTTGTCAAACTCAGAAGAATAGGGCCTCCTGCTCTCTCGCTCCCTGCGTTCCAGACCTTCCACTTCTGCTCTCCTTGAAGCTTCATGTGATCGTGGTCTGCTCCAGTCATATTCAACACGTCTCCTTTCAGATCTCCTGACTTCTTCCTCTTCTGCCCGGGTTGCTCTATGAGCATCTTCTCTTGATTGAGGGACATAGCGTTCTTGTCTCCTCCTTCTCTCACCCTCCCTCTGGTCAGCTTCATGGGACTGAGATCTTCTCTCGCTTTCTCTGGACAATGAGCGACGCTCCACAGAATCATCTACTGGGCTTCGGTGATGAATCCGATCTTGGCGCTCATCAGCCCCACGGGGTTCAAAGGCACGAGACCTCCGCTCATTGTGCGCTTCCAGGTCCCTCCATCCATCTTCGCGTTCTCGCTGTTCATGAGATAGCCGGCCTCTTTCAACATCGTACTCTGCATGATCCACTCGTGCTTGAGAACCACATCTGAAGAGTCTTCCCTTAGTCTCCTGGCCACGGCGTTGCCTCATTTCTTCCCTCCTGGATACGACTGTTGGAGAACACAGGTCTTCTTCATCCAAGGGAGCCTGAGCTTCACATCTGTCGATGTCATTTCTTCTCACGAGTTCTTGGGGCTGGCGTGGAGAGACATCTTCTAGGGCTGATTCCCGTTGTCTCAGTTGACGAGGTTTTAGTATCTCAATATCTTCCTGCCTTTGTGAGTCAAGATGACCTCCTTCACGGTCCCTTTCCTGATGTTCCCAAGATGGACAGTCTCTCCTATGACCATCCCTCAACTCACGATCATGTTCTTCAAAGTTGTGGTCTTCTTCTTCTTCTTCTACAGGTCCAATGGGAAGGTAGCGTCCCAGCACCTCCCGCCGTCTTCCTTCCTCCATGAAACGTAGGGAAGTCCCATCCAAACCTCGTCTCTCAGGGACATAGTCTCCTCTCCTTTCCCCATCCTGAAGTTGCCGACGTTCTCTTTTGGACCCTCCTGATTCTCCCTCATGTAGGGCTCTGCTACTTTCATCCCGAAGAAGATACTCCCTGGGCTGCAGGTACCTGTAACAGCCTTTGGCGATTTGGAAGACAAAAATCAGGTACTCGTTGAAGTCCACCAAGCTGTCTCCATTGACGTCCAGCAGCTTGAAAGTGAGCTCAATTATCTGAGGGTCGCAAGGATTCTGGAAGGGAAGAGAAATCAAAAAGAAAGAGAGTTGGTTTGGGGGATGGACCCACTGGTCATCCCAGTCACCGCTAGCACCTCAACAGTTTTCACTCTTAAGTTGATCATTTATGGTTTTTTAAGTGGAATGACATCCAAATATAGGTTGTCCCATTAGGGTTGCTGCGTGGTTGGCTGACCCAACTGCTCCCTCTGCTGGAAATGAGCCGTGTCATCCCTTCAACCCCAAGTTTGGTCTTTGCTCGGCCTTGATGTATCCCCTGATTTTTACCCCATTTCTGTATTGTAGCTCAGGGTGTTTCTAGGCTCGTGGACGGGGCCCTAGAGTTTCTCTAGTCCACTTCCTGGCTCCTAGAATAGGCTCCACCAGACCATCTCTGACAGGTGTCCATCAAGCTTGGGTTGACCTTCTCCACTGAAGGAGCGCCATGTAAGGATTCATTTTGGACAGTGCAGGATCTAGCCCAGTGTTTCTCAACCTTGATCATTTTAAGGCATGTGGACTTCAACTCCCAGAATCACGGTGGGCATTACTCAGTTTAGTCCCTCATCCCCACAGTTGGTGCTCACCTCCAAGACTTCACCAAACTCTTTCTGGATAAGCATCTTCATTTCTCTCCGGTTGAGAGCGAGGTTGCCATGCTGGCATCGGGCATACTTATGAAAGATTCCCACAATGGTGCAGACGCTGTCCAGAAAGTAGCTCATCCTGAAGTCCTTTTCTGCAAAGACAGGAAAAGGGACAATGAAGAAGGCTTTCTATTTTTCTAGGGTGGCCCCAAAAGGAATTCTGGGAGTTGAAGTCCACAAATCAAAGTGACCAAGGTTGGGGACTTCTGCTCTAAGGGATTGCTCAACCTCCAAGTTGTCCCCTGTCTTCTCCTCTCCTAATGCCCCCCCCCAATTTTTCAACTCACCCAGCTCAGCAAAATTAGGTGAGCAGCCTCAGAGACAAAAGTGTGGGAATGCCAGGAAGCTGAACCCCCTTTTATAGGTTGTCTAATTGTAGCATGCGAGGTGACACCCTCTTCAGAGGATGACCTGATTCATCTTCAGCCCGGCTTGTTCCACCTTTGTGTCTTCTGAACAAATTGCTCGGTGACTTGTATTTCCACCTTGGAGTTGTCACGTTCCTCAAAATGAAAAAAAAGAGAGCCCAAAATAGCATTTGTTGTCTTTCTGCAATTTTAAAAGGGGGGGGGGGAAACGTGCCTTCCATAGCTTGTGTGATGATCATCAACGTCTCCCAGCTTCTGAGGTGTCCATGTCTGTTTTTTATCTGGACATCGTACAATGTAAGGGCTGGAAGAGATGAATTCCATAGCACGTGGAGATTTCTTGATTTGCCTGAAGTTCAAAAACTAAGGTAGGTTTCCAGAAATAAGGGTGTTTAAGCCTTGGCAGGAGAACTTGAGATCTCGTGACACCATCAGGAGTATGGTTTGATCGGACACAGATTTCCACGGATTAAGGTCCAGATGGGATCCATCAACGGCTTTTATCTCTATCCATCTTTCCTCCAGGTTGGGAAGCAATCTATCCCATAATGATAGAACTTGTAGACCAAGAATGGGAGAGGTTCAAATCTCTGTCATCACCCAGCAGGAGAACCTCAAAGAAACTTCTGTCACCAATGGAGGGAGTCAAACAAATGGCCTTGGTGAAGGACCATTTTCTCTTCCCAGGCTTCACCTTTTATATCTTTTCTTATTTTCCTTGCAAAGAAAACGTGCAAGGAGAAGCAGAACCAGGTTGGGGGGGGGGTTGAGTGTTCTCCAGGACCCCAAGCTTATGTGATTGTCCTCTCCCTTTCCAATTGTGTTGGCTTTTTTGGCAGCTGCAGCACACTGCTCAGGGATGTAATATGTCCTCCACAGATGGATCCCCAAAAGAAGGCTGAGAAGTTCTCAAGAACTTTGAGCCAGCCTTGGTTTGCCAAACCACAAACGTTTTGGGCAAGGCGGATCAACACTATTTTCAGAAATATTCCTTTTGTTCTGTTCTTTCAAAGTTCTCTGGTCCTTATCCCTACACCATTTATCACTTTATTTTAAGGGTCCCTGCCTTGTTTGTTCAGCCAGTCGCGGCCACCTCCTTGTTATTTTTTCGTTCCCTGCAGAAAAGGATGTGAGTAATTTTTGTTCTGTAGCCACTTGTCGGAGTGGCTGGGCTAATTACGCCTTGGATAATGATACCTTAACTCCTCTCTCGTGGTTAAATTTAAATGGGTGTCTTCTCAAAACGGAGAAGGCAACGTCTTCGGTGGGCTGCAAGTTCTGGCTTTTAAATAAATAAAACTCTTGGGCCCCAAAGAGACCTGGTTTGACGATGCTCATGAGAAGGTGGAGAGCCTCTGATCCTTCTTCTTGCTGAATTCAATGGTGTCAGCTTCTTTGTAAGAAGTCAAAAGGAAACTCTCTCTTGCTTCAGTTGTTTCTCCAACCCGCAGCACACCCAGCCTTGTATTCAACAGCATCACCCTTATGAGCACAGTAGGGTCTAAGTTGTGATTTCAGGAAAGTGACTCGGTGCCAACACAACGTGGTCATCTGGTGTCCTTCCAAGGTTTTAAGAGCTTCCCCCCCACCACCACCAAAGCTTCAAGGCATGGCTAAATGTGGATGATGAATCTTGTCAAGAGGCCAACAGTTGGTTGGTTGAACTTTTGACTTGCAGGATGTTTAGAATAGAATAGAAGAAGAGAGTTGGAAGGGACCTCGGAGGTCATCTAATCCAACCCCCTGCTCAGGCAGGAAACCCTATAGCACTTTGGACAAATGGCTGTCCAGTCTCTTCTTAAAAACTTCCAGTGTTGGAGCATTCACCGCTTCTGGAGGCAGGTTGTTCCACTGGTTAATTGTTCTAACTGTCAGGAAGTTTCTCCTTAATTCTAGGTTGCTTCTCTCCTTGATGAGCTTCCATCCGTTGCTTTTTGTCCCGCCTTCGGGCGCTTTGGAGAATAGCTTGACTCCCTCTTCTTTGGGGCAGCCCCTGAGATGTTGCAACACTGCTATCCTGTCCCCCTTTGTCCTTCTCTTCGTTAAACTAGACATACCCAATTCCAACAGCCGTTCCTTATATATGTTAGCCTCCAGTCTCCTGATTGTGTTTGTTGCTCCTCTCTGCACTCTTTCTAGAGTCTCAACCTCTTTTTTACATTGTGGAAACTAACCAAGGAGAGAAGCAACCTGGAACTAAGGAGAAACTTCCTGACAGTAGGAACAATTAACCAGTGGAACAGCTTGCCACTAGAAATCGTGGGTGCTCCATCACTGGAGGTTTTTAAGAAGAGGCTAGACAGTCATTTGTCTGAAATGGGATAGGTTCTCCTGCCTAAGCAGGGGGTTGGACTAGATGACCTCCAAGATCCCTTCCAACATGATGATGAAGATGATGTCTGGCCCCAAATGTTAGAGGGTGGAAATATTATCACTTTTTCTTCCCCTGCTAGCAAAGCCCTTTCAAACAGGAGCATCCCTCACGGCTGGTCTCCAAGATCTTCCGTTCTGAGAGAAGCTGCTTTTGAACCATACTAAGGAGTTGACTGTCCTCATGGATTTCTCCAGAATGCCTGGATCCTTTGAAAAAGAAAATGGGATTTCAACGCATGACACATGTGGTGCTTCTCCAGACCTCTGAGCTTCCATGCCTGGGGCCTTCCCTGCATCGCCTCCTTCCCTTGCTCAGAACGGTAAATACGTGAGGTGCTCCAGTCCTCTCCTTCTCAAGATCTAAAATGGGTATTATTATTATTATTACTATTATTAGCCCAAGGGTGTGGGCTGTTCATTTGCTCAAGGTATTACTTATCTTGACGATTGGTTTTAAATATATATATATATATATATATATATATCTCCCCACCTTTTGAAAAGCAGGAATGATTAGTCAAAGACTGCAGAACGTGGGGGTGCTACAAAAGTCGTAAATGCGAGGATCAGTTGCCTTTTTCAGCACCGTTGTAACTTCAGACAGTCGCTAAATGAACGGTTATAAGTCAGCTGTTACAGACTAGAGTTGAAAGGGACCCTGGAGGTCCTCTAGTCCACCCCCTGCTCAGAATACAGAACAAGAGAGTTGAAAGGGACCCTGGAGGTCTTCTAGTCCACCCCCTGCTCAGAATACAGAATAAGAGAGCTGGAAGGGACCTTGGAGGTCCTCTAGTCCACCCCCTGCTCAGAATACAGAACAAGAGAGTTGAAAGGGACCCTGGAGGTCTTCTAGTCCACCCCCTGCTCAGAATACAGAATAAGAGAGCTGGAAGGGACCTTGGAGGTCCTCTAGTCCAGCCCCCTACTTGGAATACAGAATAAGAGAATTGAAAGGGACCCTGGAGGTCTTCTAGCCCAACCCCCTACTCAAACAGGAGACCCTATTCCATTTCAGACAACTGGCTGTCCAGTCTCTCCTTAAAAACCCCTTTTCATTAACCCAGCAAGAGTGCCTCTCCCACCCACGTAATATTTAATCGGATATCTAACCAAGGAAAATAGAATTCCGGTTTTTCCCTGTTATTTTGGTGTGTTTATTTAAAAAAAGGCAGCTCTAAGGGGGTAAGTTGAAATATGAGGATTAACAACCTGCTTGAAAGAGGTGAGGTGTTGCAAGCTGGGCTGGGCTGGACATAAATTTATCTATCATCCAAGCAGGGTGTCAGCATCTTAAGAAATATATAAAAAGGAACCGGACACCAGCGATTCTCCCACACTTCACTGAAGGCTTCCCACTGTTGAGTGTATTGAGCTGGGTGAGTTGCAACCGAGTTCTCGCTACACTGGGGGAAAAAAAAAAATTAAACTTGGGAGTTTGCTGAGAAATTCAGAAAGAGCCGGATCAAGCTGGAAAGAGGAGAAGCTGGGGCGGTGAAAAGGATCAAGGACTCCTATTTTGGGTCAACGAAGCTTAGACAAGGCAGGGAGGATGGAGAGTTTGCATAGCCTGGGACTCCAATAGGGATGCACATTTTCTCTCCCTGGTTTCTGCAGGCAAAGTGTCCAACATGGCTGGTCTCGTGGACAGTATCTGCACCATCATCGCGGTCTTTCAAAAGTACGCCGACAGGAACAGGGACTGCTCCTCCATGAAACGAAGGCAGATGAAAAGACTCCTCCAAAACGAATTTGGTGAAATTCTAGAGGTAAGGAGGTTTTAGCCAAAACGTTGAAGGCTAGTTTGGGATCTTTAGAGGTTGGGTGGTGTTGGAAAGAGTTGTCCGGTCTCAAAGTTGTTTTTTGTTGTTGATGTCTGCTTTTCCAGAATCCTCGTGACCCTCAAATTGTCAAGCTGACCTTCCAACTGCTGGACCTGAATGGAGATAATCTGGTTGACTTCAATGAGTTCCTGTTCCTCATCTTCGAAGTGGCCACCGCTTGCTACAGTGTCTTGCATCCCCAGGAGTGTCTTTCATACAACGAGGAAAGGCACAGAGCTGTGCGTAACGAGGAACCACGTAGGAACGGAAGCAGCCGCCGGGAATTCAGGGAGGAGGACAGGAGAGGAGAGGATGTCCATGAGAGACGGGGTGCTGACCGGATCCCCCTTCAATCCGTGGAAGAAGCCAGACGAGGGGAACTTTCCCGTGAACTTCAAGGAGAGGAAGAAGACCGCCACTTTGAAAGACGTGATTGTGAGTTGAGAGATGATGACAGGAGAGACCGTTCATCTCAGAAACATCTGGAAAGAGAGCCTGAACGACGACACCTCGAGCCCACAAAGCAGGAAGATATTGAGATACCAAAACCTCGTCAACTGAAACAACGGGAAGAGGACTCTCTCCGACCGTCCCAAGAACACGTGAGAAGAAATGATATTGACCGACGTGAAGCTCGGGATCCCTTGGACAGGGATGAAGAAGACCTGTATTCTCCAATAATCACATCCAGGAGGGAAGACAGGAGGCAACGTCAGGGACGAGAGACTGAGCGTCAGGATGCTGAGGGAAGACGCTTCAGATATGGTTCTCAAGCCCAATTGGATCCCAGAAACCATCGTGCAGAATACAATGTTGAAAGAAGCCGGCCATCTCATGAACGGCGAGAACACGAAGATGGAAGGAGGGACCTGGAAGCGCACAATGAGCGGAGGTCTCGTGCCCTTGAACCCCATGGGGCTGATGAGCGCCGAGATCAGATTCGTCACCGAAGCCCAGTAGATGATTCTGTGGAGCGTCGCTCATTGTCCAGAGAAGGGGAGAGAAGATTTCAGTCCCATGAAGCTGACCACAGGGAAGGCGAGAGAAGGAGGAGAGAAGAACGCTATGCCCCTCAATCGAGAGAAGATGTTCGTAGAGCAATCCGGGCAGAAGAGGAAGAAGTCAGAAGATCTGAAAGGAGACGTGTTGAAGATGAGTGGAGCAGACCACAACCACGTGAAGCTTCTAGGAGACCAGAAGTGGAAGGTCTGGAACGCAGGGAGCGAGAGAGCAGGAGGCCCTATTCTTCTGAGTTTGAGAACATGGACAGACCTTCCCGATCTCGTGAGTCTGAAGGCAGAGAAGAGGTCAGAAGGTCCCAACGTCCCGAAGATGATGAGCAGGACTTCAGTCGGGAAGAAACCCTTGCAACAGAGAGTGGAAGAAGGAGACCCCAGTTCCAAGAACCTGAAGCCAGAGACCCCAAGTATGAGCGCTCTCAAAGTTATGAAGAACCGAGGAGATATGATCAGAGAAGACCCCGTAACAATGAAGTTTACTCCCCAGAAAGAGAGGTCGAAAGAAGGAGAAGGCTCCAGCCTCGTGAATTAGTTGACCGAGAAGACAACCAGGAGAGACAACATTATGAACGTGAAGCCCAGGACGGGGGGAGAGAGAGGAGACGTGCCATGCCACTTGAACCTGAAACCAGAGACGAAGACCGGAGAAGGCTTCCAGAAAGTGCCTCCAGATATAGTGAAAGGGAAAGACTTCCAGAAGGATATGCCCGAAGGAGACGTTCAGGACGAGACGTGGAGAGTCCTTCAGATGCTCATCGGAGAGAGCTTGATCCCAGCAGCCCACAGCAGAGTTCCAGACCCAGAGCCTCTGAACTCAGAAGGTCTGAGCCCCCTAGCTTTAAGCCAGCCAGGAAGGACTAGAAAACGAAAGCCGAAGCTAGAGTAACCTGCAGTGGGGTAACTATGGTTCTCCAGATCTTGACAAACCACATCTCCCAGTAATTCTGGTCCATCTTATCTAAGATAAGAGTTTCTGGGAATTGTCGCTCCATCAACATCTGGAGATCTTCTTGGTTCCTTGGCCTTATTTTGGCATCTTTGACCAGGAAGCAAACAGGTTTGTTTGTAGTTGTAACCTTAATATATTCAATAATGCTATATTTCCCCACCTATCCTAGCCATTAGAGTAAAGCTGAAGTAACCACAATGAAGAACAAATTGAAGACATCAGTCAAGAGTATCCTTCAAGGTGGACTAACAGAAGCCAGCCTGGTTCTTGAAAGTGTCACAGAACGTGTTCACCGTTGGTGAAACGAACGTCAACTCCATCAGATCGTTGGACACCAACAGTTGTGCGTTTTCCTTTCCCCTTTCTTCTCTGCTTTTTTCCTAACTTTGGATATGGGGTAAACATGGTGGGTTTGTGGGTTTTGGGTGGGCTATTGGTGATGGAAATGAACACAAGATCAATAAAGAGCAGTTTCTTCTAACAAAGATCGTGTCTGTTCGTCTTTCTGGGATGGCTTTTAGCTCTTGGGGGGGATGCTTTGGGGTTAGAAACATTTGACGGCACAACCCATCTTGTAGAAAATGATGGAACTTCTACATTAGGGGGAAAAAAGAAAGAAAGAAAGAAAGAAAGAAAGAAAGAAAGAAAGAAAGAAAGAAAGAAAGAAAGAAAAAAAGAAAGAAAGAAAGAAAGAAAGAAAGAAAGAAAGAAAGAAAGAAAGAAAGTAAGTAAGTAAGTAACAGATGGAATCCTGGATCCAACCTGGAGAAATGTCCTGACTGTGAAAATGATTCACCAGTGGAACAGCTTGCCTCCAGAAGTTGTGGCTGCTCCATCACTGGAGGTTTTCAAGAAGAGATTGGAGAGCCATTTGTCCAGAATAGTACAGCATCTCCTTCTTGAATTAGATCTCTAGGGTCCCTTCCAATTCTATTATTCTCTATCCCCTGGGCATGGAGAATATAATTCTTTAAAGCAAGGCTTGACAAGTTGAAGAGATGTGGACTTCAACTCCCAGAATTCCCCAGCTAGCATGCACTGGAGAATTCTGGGAGTTGAAGTCCACCCGTCTTCAAGTTGCCAAGGTTGAGAAACACAACTCTAAAACATTCCACACCCAGTCCTATTTTGTTAACATAATCTGCTACCTATTCATTAACCACAAGATGGTGCTCCAAGATCATTAGCTGGTGTTTCTCTAACTAAAATGATGGGCTATTCTCGGTTTATTGAACGTCCAAACCATAAACCAGAAGCTGGGTTTCCACCAAAGAGGCCAGACTGAAATGATGTGGATAGACTAGTTTTTGACGAAGAATTTGGCTTCTAGGATTACTTTTCAGGAATTAAAACTAGTCCCCTTTTGGCTGAATTATTCCTCTTACAAACACACATTCTAGTTAGCAGATTCTAGTTAGTGGAGCAGACAACTTCCCGTTGTTCCATTTGATTCCATTTCATTTTAATTATACAAAACTGACGGGGTTGGGACAAAATGTAAACTGGATTAAAGCGAATCCAATCCAGGGCTGGCAGAGGAATTCTGGGAGTTCAAGTCCACAAGACTTAAAGTGGCCAAGTTGGAAGACCCTTGGATTAGGCCCTTAAAAATCATATCCCCTCTTTAAAAAAAAAAAAAAAAAAAAAATCTGTTTTGGATCTATTCCTCTCTGATCTGAACAGTGACCCCCCAAAGCTAGCTTGATTTCCCAAATTACCTACCTCAACTAGGTAGAACAAAATCACAATTAGTCCATGAACAAAATCTAGAGAGGCATCACTTGGTAGAAGTCCCATACAGCTTGGACAACCAAAGAGGTCCATGAGTAGATACATTTTCCACCCAAACCCTCAACTTCCAGCTGAGGTAGGGTCTCCTGCTTGAGCAGGACGTTGGACTAGAAGACCCCTAAGGTCCCTTCCAATTCTTCTAGGTCTAGGTGTAGACTTGAACAATTTTTACTCATGAGTAGAACATGACTCCTGAGTCAACTGTCCCAGGAACAGCCCTACTTCATAGGTGGATACCACCAGACAACAGAGATGCTTCTCAGTCTTGACCGTGCAGTCTATGATTGAAGGGCCAACACAAACTCGAAAGGGGTCAGTTTCAGTGATTGTTACTTCTTTTTAAGCATGAAATCATTGTCTTGTAAAAAGGAAGCAGTCCACGTGTGCTTGCAAATATTTTTTTTATTGTATCACAGAAAGGAGCAGAATTTTAGAAACTATGATTTCGATCGGTTGAGATACGCAAGGAATCCCCCTGAAGCTTAGCTATGTGTTTTTGACACTTACAGTTGATTGTCTACATCATACTTAAGATTGTGACATGATTGAGTCAGGCCTTTCATTCTACAGTAGGGTGGTCCTCTAAGGCAGTGTGGCTCAACCTCGGCAACTTGAAGATGAGGGGGCTTCAACTCTCAGAATTTCTCAGCTGCTCAAGTAGCTGGGGATCTGTGGAAGAGGAAGTCCACCCATCTTAAAGTAGCCAAGATGGAGAAACACTGACCTAAGAAGTCCCAAAGGTGTTTTTTCAGGTGGCAACTGGACGTCCTTGTTTTTCTTTGAAGACGTTTTGCTTCTCACCCAAGATCCTTCCATTCCCCACCATCCAGTCAGAGCTGAAGAAGCTTCTTGGGTTGAGAAGCGAAATGTCTTCAAAGAAAAAGTCCAGTTGCCTCCTGAAAAAGCACCTTTGGGACAACCATGACTTGGATGACTGAGAATCTCCATAGACAATGATCTAAGAAGATCTGGGTCATCTGTAGTACCAACGGAAGCTCAATCATCTCATGAACCTCAACTTTTTGACATTCATCTAACCTAGGGCTGGCCCTTCCATTGGATAATGAGGACATTCACTCAATGTAAAGCTGAATCCTTTATTGAATTATGGAACGATTGCTGATAAATATTGTTGACTTGATAAAAGATAGCTTGAGGTGGAGTCTGTATCCAATAAACCACCCATCCTGAGTTTCACAAGGTCCTTCTTGTGATATCAAGACTAAGTAGGCCTACTGGGAGACAGATGACGAGAGAGAGAGAAAATGGCTACAAAGACCTCGGGATTCTTCCCAAAGATTCCTTGCAGGTAGACGTAAAAGCATGTTTTCAGAAAGAAGCAAAGCAAGATCTAAACTACTTGAGTTCCACCAAGCTAAATGAAAGCTCACCCCTGACATTTACTACAACTAGCTGAGGGCTGTGCTTCTCCACCCACATTTTGGAGATGTAGTTGGTGAGAAAACCCAGAAAGGTTTTCTCCAAAGTGGCAACAAGTCCTGGGTGAGATGGATTGATCTTGGTGGATCATCTCCATTTCCATGGTTTTGTGGAGAATGTCTGGGTGTTCTAAGGAGTGTTTATTGCTTTGTAGACCATGGAGGTGGGAACTGTAATGGCCTCTGTTTTAGCTGAAATTGGGAAGGTTGGGCAGGGCGTTTGGGAGAAGAATCTTGGGAGAATTGGACAATGGTGAGCTCTCCAGGCTCACCGCGTGGATATCTCTCAGCCATTTGAGGCCTGGTCACTTCTTGAGACGTAGCTCTCTGCTCTGACGGACCACGTTGGCATTGTTCTAATGTTGCAGGATACCTTTCCTTTTCTTGATGAGGTCTGTAGACTGGCATTTGAGGTTCTTGACGTCTACTTATGACCTGTCCTGGTGCTTGAACTTCTTGGTCCTGTTGGGCAACCGAACGCTGCTCAACTCCTTGAGATTGACTTCTCTTTTGGTCATCACGCTGTCCGAGTGTGACAGAACGGGATTCTTGGTCACAAATTTGGACCACCTGGGGATTCCTGCTGTGACTAGAAGATGCTGATCTTCTTTCTTCAACCTGCGCTTGCTGGTTCCTTCCTCCAGAAGACCTTTGAAGAGTTTCTTGCGAGGATTCACAGGTGACTTTCCCAGCAGAGATTTGTTCCATCTCTACAGCTGACTGTTGACTTTTTCTTTCCTGCACCGATGTTTGGGAGGTCAC